CTTGGTTACTTCCTCCTCTGTATCGCCTTCACCATAAACAAGTATATCGTCAACTATGCTGTGAACCCCTGCTAAGCCTTCAACAGCTTGATCCTGCCTCCGTTGAAATTCCTCGGGAGCTGTGGACAAACCAAATGGCATTCTAAGCCATCTATATCGGCCAAATGGTGTATTAAAAGTTGTTAGTAGTGAGCTTTCTCGATCAAGCTCAACATGTCAGAAACCATTACGGGCATCAAGGACACTAAAGACTTTAGCATTGTGGAGCTTTGGCAGTATGTCCTCTATTGTCGGTAGAGGGTAGTGACTACGTTTCAGAGCTTTATTCAAATCCTTTGGATCAATACAAATCATGAGCTTGTTGGGTTTAACAACTACAACCATGCTCGACACCCTTGGTGTAGGTTCAGTTACAGGCGTCAACACACCTAAATCTTTCAATCTCTCCAGCTCAGTTTTCACTCTATCGCGAAGTGCAATAGGCACCTTTCTAGGAGGATGTACCACAGGCGGTACCGTTTCATCAGTAATGAGGTGATACTGTCCCTCTAAGCAGCCATTTCCTTCAAAAATGTCAGCATACCTTGTAGTGATGTCCTTAATACTTAAGGCACTTTACATGACACTTTCTGTTTGGCCCACTGCCAAAATGTTCTCATGACGAACTTGAATCAGGTCCATGTCTACCATACTCCTGCTTCCTAATAGTGGTGTGTAGTTTCCAATTCACTACGAAGAAATCTAGGTTGAATTTAGTGCCATTTTTTGGATTGACAACCTTGAGAATACATTTTCCGTTGGGAATAACTGTTGTTTTGTTAAACATCTTTAGAGTGGTTGTTGTTGGGGTTACTTCTGTGTTGTGTGGTACTACATTTTCAGGAATGATATTGCACTGTGCACCACTGTCTAACTGAAATTGTACCTGTTGGTTACCTATATGTAACCTTGCCATCAGATTGTTGGTGTTTACTGTATGCACAATAAATTCTGAGTTCTGTTGTGTAATTGTATATAGTTCAAAATAATCTTCATTACAGTCAGACTGTTTTTCCACATTGTGCAGCTTTTGTGTGTTTCCTCTCCATGGCTGTTTATAAGGTTTCGGTTTGAACTCTTTACACTTCACTTCAAAGTGGTTCATTCCCTTACATTTTCTGCATTGTTGACCGTATGGCGGACACTTTTCCTTTTTGTGTTCATGTATCCTATCACAGAACTTGCATTTCTTTTCCTGCCCTGAATTATTTGCTCTGTTGTTTGGTTTATAAATTGTTTTTGCAGGCCATGTGGACCTTTTCTTTTCTTTAATCCTGTGTACTGTTGACATGGTTGCAGCCTGGTCTAATGTACTTACACTTTGTTTTGTTGTTTCGCTTATTCGACATATTTCCTCAGCTTCATCTAGTGTGAGATTTGCTGTCCTAAGTAATCGTTCTCGAAGATGTGTGTCTCTAATACCACAAACTATTTTATCTCTGACTAAAGAGTCTGATAATTCACCAAAGCTACATGTCTTGGAGAGAGTCTTCACATCAGAGATGAATTTTTCAATAGTTTCCTCCCCTTGTACTCTGATATTGAACTTAAACCGTTCCACAGTCTCGTTTTTCTCTGGCTCACAATACCTGTCAAAACATCCAATACATTTTGAACAGTTCGTATGGTTTCGTCCCCTTCCCATCTATGAGTATTATATATCTCACGACCTTCAGGTCCAATAAGATACTTCATCATTTTCAGTTTTTCTATCTGCTCTTCTCCTTTTAGCGCCAACTCGTTGAACAGCAGAAATTCCTCCTTCCATTTCCTCCAATCTTCCAATCTAGCCCCTGTTTTGGTGCTAAAGATTAGTTTGCTCGGAGGAGGGAGTCGTCCTAGAGCCATACTTGTAGTATTTGTATTTATACTTACAGTATAAAGCCTCTCTCCCTTGTTTTTAATATCTAATTCAGATGATTCAAAGTGCGGGTTCTCGTCGAGCACGTGGTCCTGAGCATGTTTCACACAAAATGTTCAGACCGTCACTACTCATTAACATTACTTACAGACGTAGTAAAAAAACGACAGTATTTACTGACTGGCACTTCTGACACCATGTTTCATGTCCGCACTGACTCTATAGATGTAATCATCTAAACTACCGGCTGGATGCTGGATGGGAAACTCAAACAACATCAATCATGGACGACTTTTTTATTCTCTGACCTGATGCGTGCGTCGTGGTAAATATTACAGACTTAACATTTGTAGCGGAACGAAATATAAGATGTGTTACATACATGATGGTAAGGTGATGACGTTGTATGTAAGACAGTAGACATGATGTTAATGTAGTGCATTGTATATAAGACAGTAGACATAATGGTAAGGTGATGACGTTGTATATAAGACATTCTAACACGATTCGTTTGCAACGCGTGTTTTGATTGAATACGGACGATGTTCTAATCTGCGATAGAACCATGATCAATCGTGTTATGCTCCTCCCATCGCACTTAAGCCACGCCCCGTTTCTAACCAAAAGAAATAAAGAAAATCGAACATTATCAGAAATCAGTACTGCGATCACTACTGTCTCTACCCGACAACATCGCAGTAGAGGCAATCTACGTCTTATCAGGAAATAGACCAATATAAGCATTCCTCGACATCAGGAGGCTAACTCTGCTATTTCAACTATGCAATGATAAAGATACACTCGAAGCCAAAATAATCGAACGACAAATTGCAGTAAAAGACTCCAAAAGCAAAAGTTGGACCAACACATTAAAACAGATCCTGCATAAATATGACCTATGCTCCATCTACGAACTATTCAATTCAAGAATATCAAAACAATCTTGAAAAACACAAGTGGACAAGGCAGTCGATAAATGGTGGATAAAATATCTCAACTCGATAGGTTGAGAGTTTAAACCAAATTTCATGTTCTAATCGCCAGTATAGCCACTCAAAACAATGTGCTATCTCCTAATTCCAACACAATTCGTTTGCAACGCGTGTTTTGATTGGATACGGACCATGTTCTAATCTGCGATAGAATCATGATCAATCGTGTTAAGCTCCTCCCATCGAACTTTAGCCACGCCCCGTTTCTAACCAAAACAATATGGCGTCAAGCTCGCCTCATAGCGAAATCCCACTGATACAGGCTAGTAGGCAACAGAACAGAAACGACCGATGAAATGCATTTGTTGAATGAATTAAAAAGTAAAAAGTACACATTCCTTGTTCTTACCTCCATTTATTACTGAAACGTTCGTTCCATCCGTGTGAAGGCATCTATTTAGATCCGAAATCAAATCAAACATTTCACATGTGTCGTATGCATTTACTCAAAACTCTTCACAAATCTATACAAATAATCACCGATTTTGTCGATAAGCTCAGATTGGTATGGATACTGACATGTACATGTATGAACTTGTTCAATAGTAAACCGAATGTGTCGTATAAACTTCGGTAATAGGACGTTCACGAACAATCCAAATATTCCGCCTCATCAACAGACAGATCGAGCGCTCGCCAGAATGGGCGGGGCTAAATGACCGACTTTTGAAAGCTTTTTTCCGATTGGTCAGTCCGCTGCAGAATGACACGTCGCCAGTTCAGCTCACAAAGTACTTTCGTACAAGGAAATACAATGTTTCTAAACATATTAGCGTAGTATATTTGTTAAGGTGTGTTAGAATGGGGACAACGTCACCACCTTACCATCATGTCTACTGTCTTATATACAACGTCATCACCTTACCATCATGACTACTGTCTTATCTACAACGTCACCACCTTAACATCATGTCTACTGTCTTATATAGAACGTCATCACTTTACCATCATGTCTATTGTCTTATATACAACGTCACTACCTTAATATCATGTCTACTGTCTTATATACAACGTCACCACCTTAACATCATGTCTGCTGTCTTATATACAACGTCACCACCTTAACATCATGTCTACTGTTTTATATCCAACGTCATCACACTACCATCATGTCCGCTGTCTTATATATAATGTCACCACCTTAACATCATGTCTACTGTCTTGTATCCAACGTCATCACACTACCATCATGTCTACTGTCTTATATACAGCGTTACCACCTTGACATCATGTCTACTGTCTTATATACAACGTCATCACACTACCATCATGTCCTCTGTCTTATATATAATGTTACAACCTTAACATCCTGTTTCTGTCTTATATACAACGTCATCACTCTACCATTATGTCTATTGTCTTATATACAACGTCATCACACTACCATCATTTCCTCTGTCTTATATATAATGTCACCACCTTAACATCATGTCTACTGTCTTATATCCAACGTCATCACACTACCATCATGTCTACTGTCTTATA